CTGAAGTAAATATTGACACGAAAACCCAAGAGCAGATTGAAACCACAAAACTACTCTAAATCTACAATATTGTTAAAATACATGAGCTCCAATAAATAAACAGCAGAATGAAAAACTTTATTACTTATTGCATCTGTAATAAGTCATAAAAGTTATTAATTCACGGTTTTATAGCTTAAATCTTATCATATTCAATAAAATTCCCAGAAAGTTACCAGTAGTGCAAAGAAAATATACACCTGATAAATAATGACCCCCCAAGAAAACATTGTTCCAGCTGTCATATATTGAAGTCAGTATAGTAATACTTGTGACAGGCCTAGTTTTCATGTTTGTTTGTTTTTTTTCTAGTTCTGGCTTGTTTTGATGGGATAGTACCTGTGGTCAATATTTATCATAGTTTTACATCAATTAAGTTGCAGATTGTGGAAAGAAAAGACTGAACAGAAAAGGACAAGAATACAGTATGTTGTCAGTACAGAAAACTCCAACCAAAATGCAGAGACAGATTTGGTTGGATTTTTCTCAATTTTTCTGACAGTTTAGACCAGGGGTGTCAAAGTCAATTTCACAGAGAGCCAAAATTAAAAACTGGGCCAAAAAGTCATGGGCCAAACTAAATATTTATTGAAAAATTTCAACAACATCTGCATGTTTTCTCTTCTTTTGAGATATGTAATGTTAAACCTTTTTAAAATATTAAAATAAATGTTTAATAGTAGTTTTGCTTAAACATTGAATCCAGAACAAGCATAATATAAAATAATAACAACATTTTAAATAATTAATGTCTCTATATTCTATCTGTAGCCGGCGGGCCAGCTCTTATGCATATTTGATATAATCTCGCGGGCCAAATATAATTATATTGCGGGCCAAATTTGGTCCCCGGGCCTGAGTCTGACATGTCTGGTTTAGATCTTCATTTGGCCAAATAAAAGTGTGTGTTTATTTTTATGAGTATTGTGTAATTTACTGGGGTGGGACAAGAGACGATCTCCACAAGACGAGATCTGACATGATAACAAGATGAGACAAGATGAGATTTTGACATAATTTATAATAAAAACATTGTGCTGTTCAGTTCACAATTTCATTTTATTTTTTTTCAACCTACTTTTGCTGTTTGTAGACCTAAAACAGTTTGAGTTCTTCTCTCGGAGCTCACAAGAGTAAATTTTGTCTAATATAGGACCTTTTAAATTTCTCATGGAGACAAGCAAGCGAGGCCACAGTGCCACGTTACCTGTCAGATCTGTGGAAAGGCAAGCCCTCTCAATAAGAATTCACATGTAATTCAGTAAATGCATGGACAGTTTTAATGCCAAACTGTGGAACATTCGACTAAATCAAGAGACAATAAATTCTGTCTGTCATTTTAACTGAAATACCGTTTGCTTTTACAGCGTGGGGAGGTTTGACTTATGCATGACTGAATTTTGAACAACATTTACTTATAATTTTAAAGTGAAATGAACTCGAACTCCTCCGTGGTCCACCGTTCTGCTTCGCTTCTTGAGAAAACCCGGTGGAAAGAGACTGGGCCCATGTTTTTGTTTGAAGTTTTGACGCGTTGGTAGGGAGTGTGTGAGGGATCATGGGAAGCAGTGCATTGTGGGGGATTTGGGCAGATAAAGAGAGCACACATCAGCGCACAGCTCAAACCAAAGATTAGGAAGAAAGTGTCGGAGCCATTAGTGAAGGAGACGGGGCCAGAGGAGAAGACGAAATATGTGCAAGAACCAAGATCTGCTTTAAAGTTCATATGACTGCACAGTTCACTGAAACACCATTAATATTATATTTAAAAAGGGGGGGTTACGCAAAATCGACTTTTTGGAGCTTTCTACCATGCTATAATGTCGTTCCCTCATCAAAAACAGGCCTGAAGACGTTTTAGATAGTTTCCATGCATGTTTGAGTAATTTTGTGATCTCTCCTGGCCACTATTCAAACCCTCCTTACAGTTAGCTTTAAGATTCTGTACAAGGCTCCACCCACAAGCCGACGTCACACATACTCCCACATGACCACTTTTCAGAAATATTTACAAAAGCAGGACACAAAACTGCACATTACACCTTCACAAACCTGGTGTGGTGTGCAGTAGTTTCATTGGCAGGATGCATGCTCATTGTCGTGTAATAGTGCTCTGAAGGGGGAGTGAATTAGCCCCAGGAGCAAAGAGAGGGGAGACATCAAAAAACAGGCGAATATTGCATTTTCAAAGCAATAAAAGGTAAGGCAGTGATCTAAATATGTTATGTGTAAGAAGTAAAATACCACCTCTTTAATAACATTATTTTGAGTACTTTATTGTTTCATGAAAATATTATTATTATTATTTTTTTTTTTTTTTTTGACAAACCCAAAATCCTTGTGAAAGTCAGATGCCTTTGAGGTGTTTTGGACTAACTGAGAAACCAGAATGTAACTTCTGGTTGAACTTTGACCTTTTAAACGCTTGTGTGTGTGAGTCAAACAGAGGAGTGCAGATTGTGATGACGAATCATGACATTATGGGTGTCAGAATGTCCCCAGGTGAGGCTTTACCTGTCTGAGCACACACCTGTCACTGAGGTATGCTAACTAGCTTTAGCCTGGAGCTAGCGTCCACTTAGCTATGCTGAGAAGGTCTTGGCACCTTTTTAGTTTCACTCTTTTAAAAGTGTTTGTTATGGCAAGGCAGGTTTATTTCTACATATAGCACAATTGGTACACAAAGTACTTCAAAGTGATTTATAGAATAAGAAAGGCATTAAAATCACAATTGATACTGTGCAGAGACATCACACTGAGGGTGTTCAACATGTATCTCTAGTGGTGGAATGTTCAGCACTTATAGGGTGACCAGATTTTCAAAATTAACCCCTTTGCGACGACTTACACAAATATAACTTAGGGTGACCATATTTCCGTTTGTGAAAACCTGGACACCTTACCGGGGGTGCACGGTGGGGCCTCGACATTGAGCTACTCTCACCTCACAACCTGTGCACATGGCCTCCCACTTGTGCCAACCAGGCTGGAAAACTGAGAATTTCTTGTACATGTCATTGTTAAATGCGCATTTGCGCTTCGGGATATTGCAGACTGACCGAATGTTTGTGTCTGCTCGCTCCTTCAGAGTTACAGAGAGCTACTAGAGATGCTCGGTTTAATGGCCCCAATGAAAGATAATGAAAACCCGGACATTTCCATCACTTTAAAAAAAAAAAAACGGACGCCCAGGACAGGACACAAAAAACGGACATGACCGGGGAAAAACAGACATTTGGTCACCCTAATATAACTGTTTGGATCAAGATGTAAGCCGAGATATGCAGGACCTTCCTAGGAACCTTTGGCAAGCACTTGTTTCTAGTCGTCACAAATTTGCAACATACCCAAATTTCTATTTATTTTTTGTTGCTATAGTCAAATTAATAATCTCAACTTAATTTAGCATCTACTTAAAGGCTAAAACACACAAAACATTTTTATATACATCTATATACATTCAGGCATTAAGGGGTTAAAAACTAGGACACCCACCGAGCCGGCGGGCAAGCTCTAATACATGTTTGATATGATCTTGCGGGTCAAAAATAATTATATCACGGGCCAAATTTGGCCCCCGGGTCTGAGTTTGACATGTCTGCCCTAAGCAGTTACCGTGGTGCAGACACAGCCAAATATGAATTAACATTGTCTGAAAACTCAAGAAAAAATCCTAAATGGCTTTAAACAACTCATTTGAAGGAGCCTGTGATCAATACAAGTATTTATGGTCTTGTTTAGGAGTTTGATTTTCAACTAAAGGTGAGAGTGACTAAGTGAAAAACTGTTTAGTAATGTTATGTATGTATGAGAAACTTGTCAAAGCTCACAAATCAGCTCCTCTGTTGTAGTCAAGCTAAGCCGCTAAATCAGTTCTTTCTGGTCAGATTGTGTTCAAATAAATCTCAAATTAAGTCTAACTTGAGTAACAGAGCTTCAGACAGAGCAGAGCCTACAGTTAGCGTCACAGCCCCATGAATAAAATGTTTCTATATCATCTGCAACCGAGCAAGAAGGAGGCAAACTTGTACCTCCTGTGCCATTGCGGCCTGATGGACAGTGAAGATTAGAGACCACCACATTTGGGCAGGTCAGGGGCTTATCGGCTGAAGCAGTGGGTTTAGTGTAATTTACTGTAAACTGAAGTGAATGGGAGATTTAGGGTTTAATCTAAAGTCATTAGTGGAGTTTTTAGACCGTAACTTTCCTCCCTCTCTCCAACCAGGATCTGAACCTCCTCCCATAGACTTTTTATCAAACCAGTGGAGCTACAAGTTTAATGCTGTCATGATTTCAGATGGAGAGCAGGGGTTTATATAACTCTATTGGAGATTCATTGTTTTTGAAAGAGATATCCAAACTTATGATTCACAAATGTTGAACCTTATCAATATTTGTTTGGGATGGACTCCACAAACCTGATATATTAATTTTATATCTTACAGTTTTTTAAATTTATGACAAACTTGCCTTAAGAGATCAAAAATTGTACCACTTTCTGATGTTAGAGTGTTCTGCCTGTGTGTTTATGAAGGAGTGTTCAGAGGTTACCATGGTGACAGAATGCAAAATTTACTATATGCCCTGTAGTGCAGAAAATACAGTATACATTTTTGGGAACCTGTGATTAATATGAGCATTCATGGTCCTGTTTAAGTGTTTTATTTTTACAAAAAGGTGAAACTGAATAACTGAAAAACTGTTGGCTAATGTTTGTTCTCGCCGGGTCGTGTTAAAATTAAACTCAGATTAAGTTGCAATTTGAGTAACAGAGCTTCAGACAGAGCAATGCCTACAGTTAGCATCACACCCACAGGGAACATTGATGACATCAGCTGCAAAGTATCAATAGGGATTCTACATTGTTGTGACGTCATGTAAACCTATTCCAACCTATTCGCATGATTTCAATCTTGTATTTTAGTTTTAATGCTCATGTTGTATTATTTTTTTCTGTGCAGGTTCGGAGTCAGGGCGTCACAGAGGAGCTCAAGTGTCTGAGTTTACTCAACGTTTTAGACAAAGACCAAGACATCCCCGACCAGCTCACCCAGCTCTTCGGGGAGCCATGCATCAAACTGGCAGAGGGCATCAAGGCCTACATCTCTAAGGTAAGACATGTCGAAGAAAATATACAAACAACATCTCTAAGGGTAAAAAATAAAGAAAAAACATCAAGCACACGCATCTCTATGGTAAATTCATAGTAAAATGAGTGAAAATCAGTCAAAATATTGTTTCCAAGAAGGCTGAAGCATTAGTGATGTCACAATAATCACATTTCAAACTCTATTTAGTGGACCGAACAGAAAAGCAAAGACAGGGTATAAAAATAAGTTTAAATTTAATGAAGTAAAAAAAAAAAAGGCTCAAATTAGGTAAATCATGAACAGAAAAGCTGGACCCAACTGGGATAACTTAAATCAAACTAACCAGAACAAACCTAACCCAACCAGACAAAGGAACAGGGGTGTTTAAATACATGAGGACCAAGGAAAACTGAACACAAGAAGGAGAATTACACTAAATATTTAACTAAAACTACTAACTTAATCAAAATGACAAAAGGCAAATAAGTGGATGTTTTCAACCAAGAGTCCTCTGTCTGGCACACAAGCGTAAGTAAACAATTCAGAGTTATACTAAAATATGTGCACCCAAATTAGAATGTAAGTCTAAATAAAGGAATCAAATTATGTGTGATGTAATTAACTTCATGTAAATAAAATGAAATGAAATAATACTAACACTGTAGAGTGGTGGCAGAGGTATGCACCACACTAAGGAACAGACTTGATACTTAAAACCTATTCTAATACCATGAAGATAATAAAAACACTCTTTCTTTAGACAACAGAATATGATTTTCAGCATGAAGTTATAGCACTTTCTTTTCTGTTCCCATTTGCTCTTATATCTGTGTAATCCCTCAGTGGTCCATGGGCGTGTATTAGTCTATGTGCTCTTATACTTGTCCTGATACAGCTCAAGATCATTCTAAAGCGATGCAGGAAAGATTCATTTCCATACTGTGAATGTGACTTTTTTAGTATCGATACCTGCTCAAAAGAGTATCTAGTTTTGATATTCATTTTAATTGTAATAATTATTTTCACTTGATTTTGACAATTCTAATTCAAACTTAAGATATTAAAATATTTTCCACTTTACCTTTGTAACCGAGTCAAAGAAAATTGATATAAATAGATATTAAAGAGGGAGAGAGAGTATTTTTCTTCTATGGGGTATTAACTGGTAAAACATAACATATGTTTTCTACGTTTCATTTTTTTGTTTCCGATCGACATTGAAAACCTCTCCAGGCATGTTTTTCATGACTGAACAATATTATAACACTGTAAAAGGCTAAAGAAAGTTGATTTTGTATACCCCTCTTTAGGTCCAAATCGCTCCAACACAAATAGAAACCCAATAAAACATAATTCAAAACAGTAATCCATTTTAGCTCTACTTACTTGATATATGCCTCATTCAATTCAGACTCAAATCTAATAAGTAGATTTAAAGACTTAATCAAAACATTAAGTTCACTTGACTCCGACTCGCTGATCTGAAAACCATCTGGAGCTTGACTAAACCTGGGATTAATTGGTCACATTTATTGTCGTAATAGAAAACCAGCGGAGCACCCAAGGGACTCAGGATTCAAACACCATTAAGGAGGTAGACGGGTTTTGGTGCTGTCCAGTTTTGACCTCTGCCTCATCAAATAAAGATTATCCAAGTCTTATGATTAATGAAAGAATTGTTAAAAAGTAAAAAATAAGAAACATGGAGTAAATGTTTTTGATTGAGAGGCTAAAATGGAGTAGTTAAGTGTCTATAAAAACTACAAAAATTAAAGAAAGTGTAAAGTGCATATGACAAGTTTTCATGGTTTTCTGGGATAGTACCTGTGGTCAATATTTATCATAGTTTTACATCACTTAAGTGTCAGTTTGTGGGGAAAAAAGTTGAAAAGAAAAGTACAAAAATACAGGAAGTAGTGCTGAGTTCTAAAACAGAATCCCTCTACCTACTGTATGTCAACAACAAGGAAGACAATTTACACATAAGGATGACAATTTTCTGACCGTTTAAACCTTCATTTAACAAACTAAAGGTGTTATAATTTATTTTTATCAGTCTAATCATAACTACTCTGTCATTTCAACAAGTTTTGGCTCTTAACATCAACATAGCCTCGTCATTTTGGTGTTAAAAACGTCCTTATTAACCCGCTCAACATGATCCTGGTGTTTTTATTTCACCGGTTTCATTTTAAATAAATTCCCATTCCTTATACGGAACTCACTCCAAATTCACTCCTATAACTGCAAGCCTCGGTGAGCTTCATTTGACTGGAGTCGAGTATTATAGGTGAAGTCACACTTAGACCACTTGATTGTGGTTGCTAGGTTACAGAATTACCTCTACGTATGTCACATCTACAACAATTTATAGACTTCACTTCAATTATAAAACAAGAACTATTTTTGGTAACATCTTGAATCTAATAAAGTGATCTTTGTTTTGTTGAAATGTGGAGTCTTAACCTGTCATATGCGGTTCTAAAGTACATGTCAGGAGGAGCAGACACACACAGCTGGAGTCCACATGTGAACCGGCAGCAAAACAACTCGACTCCCACACACTCATCACAACAGTCATATCTTCAGACAGTGCCTCAAGACATGTCTAGACCTGGTTCAGTCCTGGTTTAGTCTGGGTTACAACCACAGACTCTATAAAGAAGTGGACAAAGGGACTGAGACGTTGTCCATAGTGTTCAGCTCCAGTCAAATGAAGCTCAATGAGCATGGCAGTTACAGGAGCAAATTTGGAGCTGGTTTCCAAATTAGGAATAGAAATTTAATTATGGACAAAATCTTGAAATAAAAACACCAGGATCACATAGAGCGCATTAATAAGAATTTTCCAAAGTAAAGTCAATTCAAAACAGAGTAGATGGAGCCAGTGTGAGATAGTATTTTGACCCCCATAGTATATTAACCCCGGGGTCAACATACCGCTATAGTAAAGTGACCCCCACCCCCACCCCATAGGATTTTGACTCCCCTTACTTTTTTCTTTAGTAGTTACTTATATGATCATTATTGCTCATGTAATTTACTTTTATTATATATTGCTTCATATTCAGTTTCTTTTAAGGTATTTTAAGGAATGTTTTGATGGATAACGACTTGGTTTTTGTGTAAATGTAACGTATTGTTAAAATTGCATATACATAGCAATCTTGTCACTTTTTGTATTGTATTTTACATTGTTATGATTTTTAGTTTGCTATGTTCTGATAATTCTTAATCATAAAGTCAATTTAGGCAATTGTTTGTAAGGATAATGACCTTAAATTGAGTAATGTTGTGTTTTTAGCCATGTTGCTTTGATCATTAGTCTGTTGGGTTTGTTTTTGTCTTTATGTTTTTCATGCATGGAAGAAATAACAACACACACATAAAAAAGACTTATTTATTCAATGTTCGACTCCCTGTTTTTATGTATTAAATCACTGTAACACCTCTATGCCTTAAGTACATTACTCATCATGTTGTAGGCACGAAAATATGAACACACATCTTCATGTTACATTTTCATCTAATGCAATTGTCTTTATCTAAGAGTTTACACATCAAAACTATAATGAACATATTGAGAGGTCAGATTACTATAGTCTTAGGATTTTGACCTCGGAAGCGTCTCCAAGCTCAGGTCCTATTTGGAATGCAGCGGTTAGCATGCTAGCTATGTCCATTTATATATACAGTCTATGGTTAAAACCTGGTTTAGCTCTGATTTAGTCCTGCTTTAGTCCGCATTTTGTTCTGCTTTAGTCAGTCTTCATTTGTTTGCTGTAATCCTTTGATACTTACAGTATATAGGGTGACCAGACGTCCCTGTTTATCTGGGACAGTCCCAGTTTTGAGTCCTGTGTCCCCTGTCCCAGCAGATTTATACAAAACCAGTGATTTGTCCCAGTTTTATACAAGAAATGTTCCAGGTGTCCCTATTTTTGACCAATCTGATCCCTGGTAACAGTAAAGAGAGGCAGAAATTGTCATTTGTTTATGTAAAATACAGAAAAACTGCTTAAAAATGACCAAAACACAAAGAAAATGTGACTATACTGACTCATGTTAGTCATGAACGGTCTCTGCATGACAATGATCCTTAATCACACACTCATTTACTATTTTATTATTACCAACCACCAAAAAACTGAGGTGTCCCAGTTTTTTTTACTTAATTACAGTTTACTTAGAAAGACATTTGACTATAGATTTTTGAAATATCTTTAAAATATGTTCCTTGCCCTTGTGAGTGGAGTGGAAACCCTTCGGGCCAAAATTAGCCGTTAGCGTGTCTTGCTAACAGCCCTGCATTATTGTGTCCTTAAGTGAAGCGCCTGACCCCCGTCCGCACATTTATACATCTGCAGTGTGTCCATAGCGTGTTAGCATGTGTTAGCGTTTGTTAGCTGGATCTACACTTCCTGTTTTGGTGCGGTGCGCTGTAGCCTCGGGTCGGTGGAGCTTGTGATCGTCATGACGATTGTGCATTCAAACGAGCTGCTAAAGAACGACTGTGTTTATGTATACAGTCTATTTATTCAAAATCTGATAAAGTTTGCAACAGGGGGAGATGTCTGATAATCGCAATTTGAGTGGTTGCAATTAGCCAATCACAGATCACATGTTCTGAAATGTGCAAGTGTGTCAAAGTAAAAGTAAAAAGTACAGATACCTACATTTTTTACTTGAGTCAAAAGTCAATTTTAGTGGAGTACTTTTACTTCACTACATTTGACAGCAGGTGTCTGTACTTTCTACTCCACTTTATTTTTGAACAGGACTGAAAAAGAAGTCTTTTTTATTATAATTTTGAGACCCGCCAAGGAATTGTTTTTAACACATTCATAATTTGAGCAAACAAAAATATACAGCTTGTAAAAATGATCAATTATATTGTTTTTGTTTAGCAAAATCCAGCACAAATCTTATCAAAATCACTACATTTGAAGCTTTATAAGAACTCAAAATCTGCATGAAACTCAAAATCTGCATGAAAAACTAGTATTACACTTAAATACATG